GGAGGGAGGGAGGGGGGCGAGGAGGGGCTGTCCCGGCGGGGTGGCCGCCGTCGCGCGTTTCGCCGCGCCTTTTCCCGTGTTGATCCGCCCGGTCCCGCAGGTCCCGAACGCCCAGGGCAGACCGCGGACGGCGGCCGGCCGGCCCGCCGACGAGGAGGTGTCCAGCGACTCCGAGACGGAGAGGTAAGGGTTGCGCCAGGGAGGTGCCGGTACTGGAGCGGGTGCCCGCCCCGGGAGGCTGTCGGTGCCGGGGGGATGCTCACGCACACGTGTCCCCGCAGCCTGTCCTTGGGGCGGCGGCGGCGAGAGGCGGCGGCGGCGGAGGAGGAGGTGGAGGAGACGCCGCAGGAGAAGAAGCTGCGCCTGGCCAAGCAGTACCTGGAGGAGCTCCGCCAGCTCGGTGAGTCCCGCCCGGCCCCGGTGCCCCGGCGGGGCGGCCCGGGCGCTGGGCCCGGCTCTCACGCACTGTCCGACCGCAGAGGAGGAGCGGGCGGAGGAGGAGGAAACCCAGCCAGCGGATCTCATCGGCGACCGACTGAACGAGGACGTGGTGAGCGGGGGGGCGGGCGCGGCCCCGCGGTCCCGGTGGTGGGCTCTGTGCCCCTCCCGCGGGACCGGGGCTGGGGCCGCCTCTGCTGAGCCTCCCGCTTCTCCCCCAGCTCGAGCAGAAGGGCCGGCTGCAGCGCCTGGTCGCCAAAGATGTAAGTGCCCGGTGGCAGACCATAAGTGCCAGCTTTGGGGGACACTCGGGCATGGCCAGCACCCCACGACCCTTCTGCTGCCCACGGTGCCCTGCTGGGGTACTCCCAAGCCCGGGGAAGGGGCCGGGGGAGCCCAGCTCACATCCCACTCTCCCTACAGGTGCAGCCTCCGGATCCAGCCAGCATCCGTGTGCTGCGGGGACACCAGCTGCCTGTCACCTGCCTGGTCATCTCTCCCGATGACAGGTTCATCTTTTCTGCGTCCAAGGACGGCTCCCTCATCAAATGCAAGTGTTCACCTGAGGCTGCAACTGGCTGTTCTGCAGGGGACCCTGCAGCATCAGGGCTGTGGGTGCCTGTGGTAGTGACTTAGCCCTGGGCTGCTCTGGGAATGTGCATTGTTTTGGGATCTGTAGGAGGCTCGTTGGCACTTTTGGGAGTGGTTTTGGGCTTTGTGGGAGGCTCATTAGCACTTTTGGGAGTGGTGGGAGGCTCCCAGAGGGTGATGGTGGCCTACCTTTCCCACAGGGGAGGTGGACAGCGGGAAGAGGCTGTGTGTGGTGCCCGGGGGGAAGAAGGGCACAGAGGAGCGGCACATGGGACACGCATCCCACATCCTCTGCATGGCCATCTCATCGGATGGCAAGTACCTGGTATGGGAACAGGGGACAGAGAGGTGGCCAGGGGGACTGCATCTCCTCCCAGGGTCCTGTGGGTTGTGTCTCATGGCCAGATGTGCCTTGCCCGGTTAAAGCAGCCTCTGTCCGCTACAGATTTAAGGATGGGTCCCTGGGATCACCCAAAAGCATATGGGGTGGGAATGGAGGCTGGCATGGGAGTGGAGGCTGGGGTGGGCTCTGGGTCTCTGAGAGGCAGGTCTTGGGCATCCCCTGCTGTCTGCCAGGCCACAGGAGACAGGAACAAGTTGATCATGATCTGGGACACAGCCACCTGCAAGCGCCTGCACATCTTCACAGGGCACCGTGACGCTGTCTCGGTGAGTCAGGGGCATCAGGCGTGGTGCCTGTGGGGCTGGGCAGCCCCATCCTCCCTGGTGCCCCTGCCTCACTGCTGTGCCCTGTCCATCCATCTGTCTGCAGGGCCTGTCCTTCCGCAAGGGGACACACCAGCTGTACAGCGCTTCCCATGACCGCTGTGTCAAAGTCTGGAATGTGGCAGAGAACGCCTATGTGGAGACCCTGTAAGGCCGGGGGAGATCCCACTGACCCTGCCAAAGGGTGTGCCAGCATCCCTGGGGGAGGCAAGGTGAGGGGGCAGGGGGCCATGCTTGCCACCATGTCTCTTTGCCATCTCCTCCTCCAGATTCGGGCACCAGGATGTCATCACGGGGCTGGACAGCCTGAGCCGGGAGTGCTGTGTGACGGCAGGGGGACGGGATGGCACCGTGCGGCTCTGGAAGATCCCTGAGGAGACACAGCTCGTGTTTTCTGGGCACCAGTAAGTCTGGGGTGGGAGAGGAGGCTGCGGGCAGGCATGCCCAGCTGGGGCAGTGGTGTGTGGCTGCCAAGCATCTCGGGGAGCACCCTGGGGATGCTGATACCCTGGTGAGCCCGCGTCTCCTGAACAGGATGCCAAAGCACACTTGTAACTGCTGACAGTTGCCCCCTCTCTTCACAGGGGCTCCATCGACTGTATTCAGCTCATCAATGAGGAGCACATGGTGTCCGGCGCCGATGACGGGTGAGCACGGGGCTGGGGCAGTGCCGGGGGTGGGCGGGGGCCCCCCCAGCCCCCTCACCCCTCACGTCCCCGTCAGGTCTTTAGCCCTCTGGGGGCTGACGAAGAAGAAGCCTCTGGCGCTGGCTCGGCAGGCACACGGCATGCAGGATTCCCAGGGCCTGGAGCAGCCCTACTGGATCTCAGCGGTGGCCGCCCTGCGCAACAGTGACCTCCTGGCTACAGGTGTGTGGCAGCCGTTTTGAGGGTGTGGGGGAGGTCCTCCTCCCATCCCTGGGTTGGGGTGCATGACAATCTCATTCCTCTGCCCCAGGATCCCACAGCGCCAGCGTGAAGCTCTGGAAGTGTGGTGAGGGATTTCGGAAGCTGGAGCACCTCTGGGACATCCCCTTGGTATGGATTGATGGGCAGGTTGGGAATGCTGGAGCTGGGCTGGAGGGTCTCACTGCAGGGGCTCCCCTCCCTGGACAGCAGGAGGAGGCTATGGGATCCCCTTAACCTGCCCTGTTCCTTCACCTTGCCCTGTCCCCTCCAGGTGGGCTTTGTTAACAGCCTCAAGTTCTCGTCATCTGGTGACTTCCTGGTGGCTGGCATCGGGCAGGAGCACCGGTAGTTACCCTCCTCCCTGGCACTGCCTGGGGGTGCAGCCCCCTTTCCTCTAGTGCTTGCTGGAGTGTGACCCTCGTCTCTCTCATCCGCAGGCTTGGACGGTGGTGGAGAATCAAAGAAGCCAAAAACAGCATCTGCATCATCCCCCTTAAACAGAGAGCCACAACCTCTGGCCCTGAATCTCCTGGCAGCTCCTAGCCCCCCGATCGTGAAGCAGGTCATTCTGTCCCTGGAGCTGCACCTTGATGCATCCTTGGTGCAGCCACCCCCCTGGGGCTGGCAGGCTGTGAGTAGGGGGTGTCACACAGCCTTGCTGGCCCCCGTGTTGTGATGTGGCTCTGCCCTCTGCGAGGGTCTGTCCCCTTCCCTCAGGTTCGGCCGGACCTGAGCTCTGGAACAGTCCATTTTGTAAAAAAAAAAACCACCAAAACGACTTTATTTACATAAATTACAAAAAAAAAAAAAATCACACTCTTGCTCACAGAAAAATATCTACTCTTAAAAACGTGGTTGGGCTCAAATACCTGGATCCTGTTACTCGCCCTGAGCCTCCAACGGCCCCACGGGATCTGCCGGGGCTGGGGGCCAGCGGGAATTCATCCGCCCCTGCTCCTGCCCCGTCTCCCGTAAAGGGGTGAGAAGCGCCACGCACAGCAAGGGGAGCGATGGGGGGCTTGGGCCCAGCCTGGCCATGCTCGGCAGCTCTGCTGGGGCCAAACCAGGAGGAAAAGTGAAACTGCAAAGCTCCAGGGAAAGAGTGACGTGGAGCACAGCTTGGCACAGGGTGGCAGGGAAAGCGTGGTGGGCAGTGTGTGCCAGCATGGAGCTCGGTTGTGGAGGGAGCAGGAGGTGCGGCGTGGATTGGCACAAGAAAAGCGGGAGTTGGAATGTGGCTTTGCGAGAGGGAGTCACGTTGTGCACCAGGGCTCAGTGCAAGGGACAGGAAGGGGGTATTTGTGCCACAGGCGGTGTAAGGAATGGGGGTCACACACCACAGCTCGGTGCAAGGTCCGTGCAATGTGCACTACGGCTCAGTGCAAGGGACAGAGGGACATTCACCATGGCTCAGTGCAGGGGGGTGGGGGTGCACAATGGCTCAGTGCAGGTGACGCAGAGGGACATGCGCCGTGGCTCAGTGCAGGGGTTGGGGATGTTCACCACGGCTCAGTGCAGGGGTTGGGGATGTTCACCATGGCTCAGTGCAGGGTGCAGAGGACATGTAACGTGGCTCGGTGCAAGGGAAGGGTGACACGTATCATGACCCGACACGTGGAATGTGTAGCTCGTGCTGGGGCAGGGGCTGAGCCTCCCGGCTGCATTCGGCACCCGGTCGGGCCATGCTGTGGGCACTGCTCTCCCTGGGGAGGTGCCGTGTGGCAGCACCACAGCCTGACCCCCCCATCCTTCACAAGGACGACGTCGTGGAGTCCACCACCTCACGACCATTGCACACCGTGGGCACGTACTGCGAGGCTGAGCCTGGCCAGGAAGGCAGCAGTCAGGGGTGGGTTGGGGTCTGGCAGCAGCACCTCACAGCACCCCACTGCACCCCACTGCAGTGGGCTATGGGTACCCAATGTGACCATTTCACCCCCTGGCTGATGAAAGGTGCCCAGGGGTGGCCATAGCCCCTGGGGGTGGAGTAGAGGGTTCCTGGGATGGTGACAGGCACTTGGGGGCAGGCAAATCCCCTGGGTTGGGGTGGAGGGTGCCTGGAGTGGCTATGTCCCCCTGGGGCTGAGGCAGAGAGTGCTGGGGAATGGCCATGTTCCCTCAGAGTAATGACATGCCCCCAGGAGCAGTACCCCTCTGGCAGCTGTGCTGTCCTGGGAGATGAGGCACTGGGACAAGGGACAGGGAAGAGCTGCTGGGGACACAGCATCCTTCATCCTCCCCACTTCCCATCAGGCCCTACCCCACCTCCCACTTTCCTTCAGGAGCCCATGCTGAGGTACTCCCACCCCCCCCCCCCCCCCCCCCCAGGAAGGGGATGCTGCCCCCCCCAGCCCTTCCCCAGCCCTTCCCCAGCCCCACTGTGCTCACCTTGGGACTGGCTGGAGCTGGCAGCTGCCACGCTGAACCGAGCGGTGCCCACGCGGTGACTGGCCACATTCTTCTGTGGCTGGAAGAGTATGATGTGGAGCTTGGGGGTGAAGAGGCAGCCGAGGACCACGGTGCCGCTGAGGCTCACCGAGATGCACATGGTGGTGGTCTGGACCTGGAGACAGAGTGGGGGGCATCAGGTGCTCCACCCACGAGCCGTCTGCCCCGAGGAGGGCAGGATGAAGCCCCAGTGGCACTGCCCAGCCCCACTGGGCATGGACTCCACCCTGCAGGGACATCCCACTCCATACCATACCACATCCCTCTGTCAGACCCATGGGCAGAAGATGGGGAATGCCCTTATGGGATCATGTCACCCCTGCAAAGCAGGTACACCCTGTCCAGCATCCCAGCCCTGCCAACATGCCGCTTTGGTACAGTGCCTGGAGGTAGAGCCCAGAACCCCCCACCCCAGTGCCCACTCCCTCTGGAGGATGTAGATCCCTTCTGGAAACCCATGAATGTAGCTGCCCCCACCGAGTCCTCAAGGCCTGTCAGAAACATGTTTGGTTGCCCTGCCAGGGAACCTGAGGTGCTGCAGGGTGCATCCTGTGCTCTCTAGTCCCTGGCATTGTCCAGCTCCCCAGGGACCATGCTGGCCCTGGGGTTGGCCTTCATGCCCTGGGGTGAGATATCTGGATGGGCCAGTGACTCATGCTTTCATGTCACAAGGCTGAAGGATGACACATCACTCCTCCATGATCAGGCTGAGGGGCTCTCTGGAGGTCTCAGGGCCATTTTCCATCCTCATCCTAGCAAGGCAGAAGGGTCCTCTCTCCAGGACTCATTACCCCCTCAGCCACAGCCATTCAGGATCTTTCACCTGGTCCCGAATGCCCCAGTGCAGAGGTGACCATCAGTGCAGAGGTGTATGGATGAAGACCCTTCCCCAGGCCCGCAAATCTCCAAATCACAAACCCCATGGGGCCCAAATCTCCAGGACCACTTAGATCAAGCCCTATCAGAGCCCCCCAAAGCTCAGGCTCTTACACGGTAGTCGCTGGAGGTCACGTAGAAGATGGGCAGGAAGGCCAGCCAGATGATGCAGGTCGTGTACATGGTGAACCCAATGAACTTGGCCTCGTTGAAGTTTTCAGGGCATTTCCGTGTCTTGAAGGCATAGACCGTGCAGAGGACAATCAAGAGGACATTGTAGGTGAGTGAAATGAGCATGTTGGAGTCGCGGTTGTTGCACTTGAGGGTGACGATGTACCTCTTGTCAGGCTCAGTCTCCTTGCCTGTGCCGGGGGTCTCCACTAGCAGCCAGATGATGACGATGATGAGCTGGCAAGAGATGAGGGCCATGCAGATGACCACCTGCGACGTGGGGCTTATGAACCGGGGGCGCTGGACCCCCTCCTTCACCCCGCTGAAGATCCTGGCGATGCGGTTCGTTTTGGTCAGGAGGGCCGAGTAGCAGACGGCGAAGGACGTGCCCAGCCCCAGGCGCCGGAGCGTGCACACCTCGGTGGAGGGCTTCGCGATGAAGATGAAGGTCATGCTGTAGCACATGAGGACCCCGGTCAGGAGGATGTAACACAGCTCCCGGCCAGAGGCCTTCACAATGGGGGTGTCGTTATTCTTCACGAAGACTCCGATAACAAAGAGCGTAGAGATAAAGCCCAGACAAGAGATAGTGACGGGACCAATGGCCCAGACATCTTTCCAGCGGATGTACTCTTGGGGCAGCTCGTAGCAGCCATTCAGGGTCTCGTTGGGCCAGTAACCAAGACCACAGTCCATGCAGGTGAACTCATCCAGCAAGTACTCGTAGGGCTGGCAGGGGATGCAGATCCAGCAGCAAATATCTCCGGGCTGCATGCTCTTGATCTCATTCTTTTTGCAGGGGTCACTGCACTGGGACACAGGGATGGAGACCTCAGCCCACGGGATTAGGCTGGTGTCGAGGATGAGCCCCTCTGCCCAGTAGCCCACTTTCTGGTACCGATACCGCCCGTCCACGTGGTGATAGTTGAAGATGTTGTAGCGCCCGATCCCATCACCATAGCGGTCAAATCGAACAACACTCTCTGTGTCTGCTGGCCTGAACGGAGCTGGAGGGAGGACAAGGGGAGATTGTCACTGCCATGAAGCAGGAGAACACTTGCTCCCAGCCTGGAGGCAAGGCTCCTTCAAAGGGTTACATCCCACCATGGACACAGTTTAATGTCCAATCTGTTTCTTGCCTTCAGTCCCATCCTTGCTGCCTGTGTACACATTAGGAGCAGGAAAGCAAAGGTGGAGAACTACCTCCCCACCTGCCTGAGAGCCCGTCAGCCCTAGCCAGCTCTGCAAGGGCAAGGAGGGGAATTGTGCACCCTGCATGGCGCTCAGTGACACCTGAATAGCCAGGCTCAGCCCAAGTCATAGAGGACATGTTTCTAATTCACCCCAAACTATGTGAGTCCCTGATCAAGGGTATCCCTTCATTTTAATCCCCAAAATGTGAATAAATCACAACACTTGCAAGCAAACGCTCCATGGAAGGGTTCCTTGTGGAGCGGGTCCCATCCAGCTGTAGCAGGATGGAATTGTTCACCAGCTTCTCCACATATGTCTCCACTGGGGACACAAGGCCCAAGGATGATGGTGGGCTGTTGGCAGCCTAGGACAACCACAGCCCATGGCACACAGGTCCCTGGGTGTGGGCAGGCTGGAGGAATTGGAGGGTCTTGGGTCAAATTTAGGTCTCCATCTTTCCTGTCTCACCACCCATCTCTTTCCACTTTGGCAGCCAAACCCCATCTCCACCTTGGACTCACCGTCAAAATTAACATTGAGGATAAAGTCCTTGTAGAACCTCTTGCCATTGACGGGCTTCATGGCATCACAGAGCTTGGTGTCATTGGGGCACAGTGCTCGGTGCATGTTGTGGAGAGAGTGAGCCATGGCATAGACAGCATTGATCACAAACGTGATCTTGGACTCCGGCTCAAACTTGCCTGCCTTGAGGGAATACCGGCTACAGTCCTGCGTGTGGAAGCTGCACTTAAACCTCTGTTCCCAAAATTCCCGAAACCAGGGATTTCGGCTGTTATTGTAGGGATGGAGGTTAAGGAAATAGGCAGCAAACTCCTTAATGGGGTAGGCTGCCAACTCGATGGTGATGGCTCCCTCTGCCACCGCTTCGCTCCCGGCCACTACGCTCTCCAGGGCTCCCCACCCGTCACTGGCCACCCACATGAAGGACACATTGGCTCTCTGGGCAGCCGCCAGCAGCTCCCGGGCATCTTCACTGCGAGTGAAGAGCACGACCACTCTGGCATTGGGCTTCTGCAGCAGAGCCCGGACCACTCCATCGTAGGTCTTCTTGTTCATGGAGCGCCCCACCTTCTCCGAGGTAGCAA